GAACTGAACTGCGCTTAGTGGGTCGAGTCGCTGGATAGAACCGCAAATGCTTGGCTCACCGAGCTCTCTAACTCCCGCAGAGTGGACCTCCGAACTCCCTGGGTTGTTGAGGAATCAGATTCCATCCAGCCGTCTTCCACGAATCCGGTTGGTTGCGGCTGAAATCTGGTGGGAAGAATTGTCTCTCTCCATCTCCTTGGCCCTTGGTCAATCTGAGTTAAGTCCTTCCCCTCCCCCACCTACTAAGAGTTGGCAAGCCATCATCAAACAACGTGCTCGGAGTGAGGCAGCGCTTCCTAGACCGGGCCCTGAGTCTTCTCTCTTTTTCTTCTCACCCCCGATCAGCTTCGAGCTTCATGTAGTGCGTGCTTCGGGATGGGGATTGAGGGATTGAACCTCAATCCCTACGAATCCTCCTGAGTCGCGCGACAGACGTGGCCGAAACCTGCCGAAACCTTGGTCGGACGTCGTGATCGGACGTCGCCGACGATTGCTGCCAGGATTGGACGAGGATGAGTCAGAGGCAGAGGAGAAGCCCTTGTACTACAAGGGCGAATTTTTCGGCCTGGCGCTGAGTGATGTTTGAAGCAGTGAACTGAAGCACGAGCGAAGAAGCAACCCGTTTCCGCATGTGAAGGAGTGCAAGGACTTCAGATTTCCAAGTACTGAGGCCCTAGGGATCCAAAAGTAGTAAAAATAAACCACCGTTCTCCTAACAGTAGTTGTTTTGCAAAACCATCTTTTCTCACAGGTTTTTTCGCTTCGCTAAAATATATCCGTTAGATATCGTTAGATCATTGATTGGTCATGCAAAAAAAAACATCCGAGCGATCCCCAACAACACGTCGGATCCCAAGACCTGAATCCCAGCTCATCCCGAATCCACCCGATCGAACATGGGGCGAGTTTTCGAAGGTCCCTGTCCACGCCAAACATCTACTGTTCCACGGTTTGTCCATGGTTTGTCCACGCTCGATTTGTACCATTCAACGTTGGCCGAGAAACACCGTGTCAATTAATGTTGAGCACATCCACAGCTACACTAGCTAAAGAGCCGGTAGCCGGTCATCCCGGTGCAAAAAAACATCGGACTGATGCAAAAGAACTTCGGTTGCACCAGGTATAGGAAGTCCAAAAAAACGTCGGACCAAAAAACGACGTTTGGTAAAAAAAGAACTTGAGGAACCTCAGAGGTGTTTTTTTACTACTGAGGACGGCCAGGGGAGGGATATTTGAGGTGAGTAGGGTGTATATCTCTCACCTGTCGGGGCTTCATGACCTGGTCAGTGGAACCTTCTCAGTGAGATCCCACAACAACCAGGACTATAAGGTCCAAAATCATCCACTTTTGGAGCGATTCGCCGGTCCGGCTCCTGGGCTCCATCGCTCCGGCTCCGACCCGCAGGGGACTCGTCCCCCAACCCACCGGACGACCCCCCGTCCGCTTGGACGGAGCGTCGGACTCGACGGAGCGAGCGACGGCGGCGGCGCGAGGTCCGCGCGATTTTCGTTCCATCGGAGCCACCTGGAGTCCGACGCCCCGGGCGAAGGGAGGGAGGGCGGGGGTGAGAGGGTGAGACGGGTCGGGGTGAGACACGGCGGAAGGGAAACCGGTAGGGCGCCACACCCGTGGTGTTTTGGGTGGGTGATCGCGTAGGAAACAAGAGGAAAAGAAGGGGGGGCGGCACTGGGGCGGCGTGTTGTTTCCGGTTCTTTTCGACTCTTTCTTTTTAAGTTGGCGGTTTTTGGTTGTATGGAAGCGACATGATGACTGAAGGGCGGGAGAATGTGGCTAAAGCCCGAGAGTCCTCATTTTGATCGTTTGCTATCTCTTTTATTTCAGCAATAGAGAGCAATTGATCGTGGATACGGAGAAGCCGTTGGGTCCAGCCAACTGTCAGGTGCTCATGGCCCACCTTTTTGGGAAAGAACGCGCCGGGGTACCGTAGGGTACCACATCCCAATAGCATGCCATGCTGTGGAGTGCCAGGGACCGCTCTGTCTGTCTATGTCTCTGTGTCAAGTCTTCCCTTCGCCTGTGGGAAGGTGTGGCATGGAGAAAGCCCAAAGGGGATGATCGATCCTTTCACCTTCCAATCTTCCACCCCAAAAGGGTGTTGAACTGGCTTTGTAATCTGACATGTGCAAGTCCCTTCAGGCTTGCACGTCATCTTCTTCATATAGTTTCTGCTTCCAATTCTTTGCATCAAAAACCCAGGTGTTCAATCATGTTCCTGGTGTCCAATTCTTTCCATCACTTTCGGAAGAACCCAGCTCTGTTTCACCCAGCTCTGTTCTTCCCAGCATAAGCTCCTCCTCATGGTGGAGAAAGCGCAGAAACCGCAGCGTCAGGTCAGCGCCGGCTGAAGGACTTGCCGGCCTGTCGGGCACGGGGCACCCAGGAACGCTGCGAGAGCAGCGGTCCGGTGGGGGGTTTGGGGGTGGACGAGTTGGCTGGGGAAGTTGGCTGGGGAGATCAGATGCAGCATTCATTGAAACAAACCACCAGAATTATGTCACCTTTTCCCTTCGTTTTGTTTTTCTGATAAACATCTCTTAAGAGATAGCGGTCATATGTCTTTCCCCCGGTTTGCTTTGTGTTTGCATGTTCTTCTCGGGTTGCTGTGTTTGTGATTCCTCAGTGACTGTTCCTCCAACTGTGGACTATGTGGTTCTCTTCATTTCCGACCACCGCAGCGCAGGCAGCAGTTAGGTTTATAACGGTGGCCCTACTCGGTTGGCCCACTCTTTTGCAATAACCGTACAGTAAATGGGCTCTAGTCTGTTGGAAAAAACAATAGACATCGAATTGACAGATGAGGTCCGCCCACTAAACCACAGACATTGGGCATTGCGCCATCTACTCTGAAATCACTGTATACGCACACACACACTAAGATGCGGCTTCCTTTGACCAAGGACTCTTGACGAAGGATTTCGCGAAACTCTCGGGATCACCCAAAGATCAACGTGGCGACAGCACGGGCAGGATGTGTAGTCGGATCTTGTTGATGTAAACTCCGGAATTCTCCACTTCACAAACACTTTTTGACCCCTGTCAACCATTTGGATCCATCCAAAAAGGCTGGTGAAGCGGAGCCCATCTCCAGCCGGTCCGATCGCGACCTCGATCACTGGCGAGCGCCGGCGAGCGCCGAGCGAGCGCCCGAGGCCGTGGCAGGGGTCCGGCTGGACGCGGGCGAGATGATCCAGGGGCGCCGGAGCCGGGGGCCCGAGACGTTTGCTTTCTTAATCTTACTTCCAGGAGAATACATGAGAAGACTGTACTGTTGTGGTTCCAGAATAGATGGCACAATCCCGGTTTTGTTTGGACCCCCCCATCTATAAAGATATCTTGCAGTGCGCCATTCTACTCTGAAACTGCTGTACAAGCTTGCTTCCGCTGAGTCCCGATCCATCCCCATCCTTTCGATGTGACATTTGATTGTTTTGGTCAGATCTGGCATGCACCAAGATCCTTTCATGCTGTGATGTGGCAACGAGTTAGGGGACCTGACCCTGACCCTGACAACCACGGGCACCTCACACAGCGTCCATGGGCTTTGGACTCATTGGGGATCCACACTAAAACAATGATTTGCATTCGACATGGCATTCTCTTTTCTGGTTTGGGATGTCCGCCTTAGAAGTTGGATGAATCCAGTGTGAATCCACTGATTTGCCATTGCAAACCCTGAACAGGTTGTCCGAACTTCAGTGTTGGCAAGGGAATCTGGAGGAACTTCTCACTTTGACCCGGTCTCTGAAGCTGACGTTGAATGATTTGGCAGAAGTAGATTCAGTTTTGGGAGCACGTGGCAACCCCATAGTCAGTCTGTGCAATAATACTTGCATTACATAGGTTGCCACGTGCTGGGCTGTTATTGTAGCCGTAGCACCTGATGACATTTTTGTGGAGTGCCTCGTCTATGGCTTGAAGAAACTCTACAGTACATGGTGCGAGATGACAGGAATGGGCACAGGGTGTTTGCACATGGGGAGACATGAGGCAACTCATCATAGCTGGAAACTTTTGCCACACAGTTCAAAATGATCGAGAACCATGATGGAAGTGAGGATGTATTGATGTTATATAGTTAGTGGTTGTTGACCCTGTTTGTTTGTCTTGCGTCAAAGACCGGTGAAACCCACCGGAGCGAGGATTTCTTCGATCTAAGCACCATCTTCTCTGGCACAACTCGAGAAGCGGTTCTCCACTTCTCGGTTTGGGACCGTCACATTCCTGCCTGGTTGCTTCGTGGGACCAAAAGGATCCAGGACTCGGTCACGGAGGATCCAGACCGCGTGTGGCTGCACCGAACTGACGAAAAAAAGAAGACATCGCGAAGATGAAGCCGAATAGATCGCCCCAAGAAAAGAAAGATCGCCGTTTCCACAAAGAGGGACTGGTGGGTGGGCTTTGGGATGCTTTGGGACTCGGATACTAGCAAGTCTAAGTGTTCAGTAGCAAAGTGGTTTCAGGGGTTCGATGCTACTGGCACCCCAAGATGCTTTGATATATGATGCTCCATAAAATCAGTACCTCTTGGGGTTTGTGCCATCTACTCTGAATCTACCGTGAAGTTCTGACTCCTACTTGGTGGTCAAGTCCCATCAGGAGACCAACACCACGCACCGTGGCACCGCATCCGCTTACCCGGAGGTCCCGTGTGTCCACATGGGGCCGCAGCCGAACGGCTCAACACTCTTGCAAACTTCATGGAAGCACGAACTCACAGGAACCTGTGAGATAGGCGTGACTGGTTTGGATCTCGTCTCCAGGTTGTTCCAGGTCGTTTTGTTGGGGATTGCATGACCGCTTTGGATCTGTTTGGGATCTGATGGAGAGTAGGAGATCAGGTCGTTTTGGGGGGATTCAGCCCAACGTATGTGAAGACTGACAGCCCAGTCAGCTGCCAGTCGAAGACGCTGGGTGTTCTGGACCAAGCCTTGGAAGCAACATGACCAATATCTCCTTCAAACGGTACTGACAGGTTTCCTGTACCAGCTGAACACTACCACCGCTGACGGCGCCATGGCCCACGGCCGCGCTGGTTCCAGCACCGGCGCGCTGGCGCGGGCGCGGGCGGAGTTGGAGCGTGGGGTGGAGGAGAGCTCGCCTGCTCCCTCCCTGGCCCATCTCCGGTCTTCGACCTCCGCACCCAGCCCCTCCTGGCCCAATCGAAGCGAAACGGAGGTAGCTGGATTCCTAGGGCCTTGAAACAAGTCGACCGGATTTCTTCCTGTCCACCGGTCCCCAAGAGGAAGAAGTGACCTGCAGGAGGGCCTCCACTACGGCGCACAGCTGGCGGTCATCCATCGTGGGGTCTCCATGGAACTGTGCGTCGGGGAGGTGAGCCACTGGGCTTGGCGGTAGTTCTGACCACTGCTTGACGAATTTCCGAGCAAATGACCACCCCTGACGGGGCAGGGGAATTCCTACCCCTATTGTTTGACATGTTTTCTTTGTGTGTTGAGAGTGTCCATCTCTGGGACCTTTGAGATACACACGGGGTGTAAAAGAGTCATAGTATAAGAGTGTTACTGATACTGTCATGGGAAGACAGCTGGTTTGTGGAAGGATGGGTTTGTCATCAAAATGGTTCTATGTTAATTGTCACTATATCTTGGGCTTGTAAGCTTTGATTGGGAAGCTGCAGCAGCTGTTGGCAAGCAAGGGCTCTGCAAGCGAAGAACGACAGATTCATGATACTTGACAAATCAGTTTTGAACAGTGCCGGTCACAATACGAACCTTGTGGAGTTTGCGTTAATGATTAATGATTCATTGCAACACGTGTGAACATATCCTTGCACACAAGAAGCTTTAAGAACATGTTGAACACCCATGCCCATGCTTGCTCTTCTTTTTTTTTCCATTTCCATGTATGCCTGGTAGTGTGTTTTCACATCGCTTTTCTTTTAAAAGGGAAACGACTGCTTGCTTCCTGGTTCACCATGTCGTACGACCTCCCGATTCCCGCCGCGAGACGACGCCGCGAGTCCCGAGGCGGCGCCGGGCCGGCCCATGCGGAAGGACGACGTGCTGTGCTGGAGCAGCTCAGTGAAACCCCTGGTGGCGATCCTCTTGGCGAAGCTGCAGGAGGGCGCTGGCGGTGGCGCCCACGACGGGGGGAGGGTGGAGGAAGGCGCTGGTCAGGAGGGCGCTGGGGGCGGCGCTGGTCCCTTCTCCCACGGGAACAACGACAGGGCGAGGCGAGCGTTTCAGTGGACTCGGATCGAACTCTTGGTGTTTCCTTTTGGCGGGCTTTCTTCAGTCTTTAGAGTTCAGCAATGATTGCTGTTTGGGAGACAAGCAAGGGAAGCAGGGAAGCGAACACAGTAAATAGCGGAGTAGTGCCCACTGGACGCAGTTGTTCATTTGACTGGGAGCCACTTCAAGTGAAACTTCTGGAAAAGACGCTAAGCTGTTTAGGCAAGCCATAGCTCAGAAGTGGCTTGGGATTCGCAAAATCAACCTACTTATCAACATTCTTAGAGATGCCGAGATCGCTGTGCCGAAGAACAATTCACCCACACCAAAGAAGTGGTACCGAGGTCCACTCATCCATGTACTCCACTGACCAGCTGCTGGCAGCTGGCAGTGCACTCCTGGTGTCCCATCAAACGGAACTCCGACTTCGTCAGTTTTCCGTGGAACATATAGATGACACCTTATGAAAGCAGTGACGACCCAGATTCTCTATCAATCTTTTACGACCCAGTTGCGAGGGCAAATGTGGAAAAGCGATCCCCCCCACAAGAGATACTTCTTTCCTGGCACAAGTGTCTTAAGCCTGCATCCTTCGAACACAAGCACGCCCAACCACCTGGCACAGGCCCAGGGCCCGATCCACGGCCCTCGCGCAGAGGAGCGAGGCGCTTTGAGCTTCGACGATGCCGTGGAGCGTTTCCTCCCGGGATTTGGAACCAAGGGCAAGTCCCAGGTGACTCTACGCCGCTCGGAGATGACTCTGCAGCAACATACGCGGCGCCGCCAGCGTGGTCGTTCTGGAACTGAACTGTTGGGGGGTCTGTTTTCGGATTGAGGCTTTGGGCCCTGGATGACGGGGTGGATTTCTTGGATGCTGGTGAATTTCTGCAAACATCGCGGGCGTTTTGTTGACTGTGGGGAAATCCAGGTTCTTCTCTGACTCTGGTCATTGGTTCTTGCTTTTGGGAGGTTTGGTGCTATCCCTTTTTTGGCTGAACCCCCCCGCAATATCACTCTCCTCCACTCTTGAAGATTGGCCAGGCATTTTGGTAAAGCCTGGTTTATCCCATGGACAAAGGTGGATAGCTCTCCACTGATCAGGTCTCATTTTTTTCCACAACAAACACACCTGCAGCCAGTGCACGGGAGACCGTGCTTTTTCCGCGCGCGCCGCGTCACAGACGCGGGTGTCAGCCCACAGACACCGGTGTGGTCAGGTCATTGTCTGACCCATACCGCTGGACTTTGGGCTTCGACTCTCAAGATGCCGGAGAAGAAGAGCCCCGAGGAGGTGCCGGCCGAAGAAGTGGTGCATCCTCGTGTTGAAGGGTCCTTCTCGTTGGTCGGTCGTTGGTCGTTGCTTCCGGCCGTAGGCTTTCTGAGACGCAAGACACGTGCAAAACACTGTAGCAAAGCACTGTAGGTGGGTGCAAGCGCAGCCGTCCAGCCCACAGGACTGGCTGTGAGGGAAGATATTTCTTTTTTCTTCCGTCCACCCAGCCGTCCCTCAAGCACTTCGGGTCCTTGAAAGGTGCTTCCCAACACCTATGCCCTAGAGCTCCAAGTACCTTCTAAGAAGGTGGGACTGGGGTGGGTGCCAGGAGGGTCCAAGTACCTAGAGCCCTAGGGATGATTTCAATGACTGGACCGGGTCCTCACTCTGTCAGGTGTTACAGCACATTTGCCAGCAGCCGCTGGCAGAAGGTTGGGAGCCTGGACGCCGCTGTGGCTATGACAGCCCTGCCTGGTATGCGCCTGGGAGCGTCAATACATCTTGACACCAAGATCTAGATTCTAGATGCACTCTATCCATCTCTATCCTACAAATCGGAAAGTGGATGGATTCCTCCTTGGAAGGCAGTTTTCCTATGTTTTCCTCGACAAAGAGGCTTCAAGTACTTATTTCTATTATTACCGTGTTCTTTTTCACATGGCCATCGTTGGAAGTGCACACATCCGATCAACGGGACACTCCAACTATTGAGGAGCGTCATCCGTGCAGCTTTTGGACGTCTCAAAAGCACTCCCGGATGCCGGAGCATGCCATTCGAATCATCGGCTGCGTCGCACCGTCCAACACCACCCTCTGAGCTGCCACCGGAGTCAGTTCCCCTGGTCACATCCGCATCGGTTGGGAGCCTCCCCACCTTCCTCCAGGTCACCCTGAGTTGCGCCGGTGTTGCAGGGTTCGGTCGCAAAAACTGGAAGACGGGCCTCGGTCGGGCCAAATGCGGCAGATCTGGTGTTCTGATGGTGTCCCGGTCCTGTTCTGATGGTGTCGTGGTCCCGTTGTGATGGTGTGCCGGTCCTGTTGTGATGGTGTCAGACGTGGTGTATGGTTATGTTGTGAGTGTGCTTTGGTGCGAGAAAGGCTTCTTTTGGTTTGCGCCGCTGCTTTGAACGGCACAGCGACTCACAGCTTCGAAAGGAAGAATTCAACGGTACAGGAGCGTAGACTCCATCTACTTGAAGACCGCATGTCCCCCTCCAGATTGAAAGGGAACGTTTGCATATTACCCAGACACTCCATGGGACTGCCATTGATGCCGATCAGTTGGGGTGGTGCCAGAGGGCCCAATGTAGGCATATATGGCAGTCCCATTAGTCGTGTCTGGGTTATGTTTAGAACATGTTTGGGATGGTGTCGTGGAAAGATGGCCCGTGACTGCCTATGTTGTGTGGTTGAACGAAGGAACCTCATCTCAGCAAACCTCAAAGGATTGACATATAGCTCTGACATACTACATATTGCACTTTGTCAAAGAAACTATGACAAGTGACCTCTGAAGCCCTGAGACACATGAAGATTGACATGTCCAATTCAATCTAACGACAGGGCTTGTTCATCAGCAGAAAACACAAGCCGTGTCTCTAACGAATCCTTGCCGGGACATCACGTTGATGGGATCTCGGCCGACGAGTTGGCGCGCGGTGGGCTCAAACCGTTCATCGGTCTGCACGGTTTGATTGGTGAAGTCTATAAGGTTGCGTCTATAGGTTCATTTGACTTGTGGTGAATTGTCAACACCACTCGCACCGTCAAACGTGCTGTGAGTGCCGGGCTTTCATGGCGCAGACAACGCTGGAACGCTAAAAAAAACGCTTAGGAACGAATGCTTGCTGGAGCGTCGTTTGATGTCTGCGCTCTTGCGCTTCGTGATGAGACACGAATGCAGCGAAGTCAGCCGTGGCTCACGAGTTCTGTCACGCTTCGAAACTGCTCGTGGTCGTGTGAAAAGGAGGCCGGTGCTTGGTGTTTTTCCGCTGGAATGTCGCAGAGCGGGGTCTCCATGGGCCAAGTAGGGCCCAGCTACAACTCCTAGTTATAAATAGTTATGGACGTGGCAAATAGGCCCGTACAACCCTACAACTCTAATCTTCCTCCAAACAGGTGGTGCCATCCACTTCCATGTTAGCGAGTCAGAGTGCAGGACCATTGAGAACCTTCATCTCAAGAGGTGCAGTGTATCCGCTCGTGATGGGGTCCGATTCGCGAGCAGCCAAGGGATGTCCCCTTTGGGTCGTGTGAAAGCATGGAGGTCCGATCTCCACGTACCTGGCAGCATGCCGAATCCGTGCCAAGCCGCCGTTCAACGTTTGGTGAATCGTTTTCAATCAGAGCTCCCCCCCCCATGGGCGGAATCCGTTGTGTTTCCTGCAGACACTTCCAGGCGAAGTGGCCACCATATGACAGAGGATTTGATCCAATTGGCGTGGGGCTGTTCCGAACCGGCCGCTCCCGAACCTGCCTCGCTTTCGGAAGCCCATCTGAGCATTCCCGTTCCATGAAGCCATCGAGTTTGATCCAATACCCTGGGAGTCCAGTCGACCATTTTCAAAACGGTCTGACTAGGTGATCCGAAAAGGAACTTCCTTTACTTGGGTGGCGCCGAAAATAGTCGACCTGGACTTCTAGGGAATAGGTTTCTATTTCCAATAGATTAGGTCTACATTCCACTACTCATGTGGGGGGGAACACATTGGTGACGACCATTTCCGGCCCGCTTGTGGCAGCGATGTTCGCCTTCCGTGCCTGAGCCCCCCCTAACCCGAACCTGGTGGAAAGCGTTCCTCGACTTGGTATGGTTGTTTCGACCTGTGCTTTCTAAGGAAACTCAATGACATGGTAAGTCCGTGGTAAGGTTTCCCAGACATGACCCATCTGGGACACTGCCGAGAAACGGCCAGGGGTGGTGCCAGAGGGGTCAATGTAGGCGTATATGGCAGTCCCATGGAGTTTTTGGGTTTGATAGAAGTTACTGCATGTTTCTTCCGAAGGACATGTCACTTGGTGTGGTGCGCCAACTTCGCAGAGCGAGATTTCTCCAAAACCATCACCCATCCTTGCTGCAACATCTCCGGATGTGTGTGGTGGACACAGGCTCCCTCTGGTGTTTTGTTGTTGGCTTGCCAGAACATTCTCCGCTTGTACACGGACTAGGATGGCCAAGTCAACTCCAATTTCAAGCTCCCCACCACTGGCAATGACCACCAACTGTCCCTGAGGGTCCAAATGACTTCATTTAACCCCCATGGTAACATAGTTTAATGCGGATTATGATTTGAGCGGTAGGGTAACATGAGTCACTGTGGGTGTCCTCTTTGTGCCCGTTGAGGTGCTTGCCGGCGTCGCAGAAGCCGCCGCGGGTGCAGCGCCAGCCGTGGCTGGTGCAGCCGCCGACGCCGAAGGCGACGCGGAAGGCGACGCGGAAGGCGACGCGGAGGCGTCGCGCTTCGCAGAGTTGGTGAAGAAGGAGATCTTTGAGCCTTTGGGCTTGCGAAGCTCTTCCATAGGCGGGATGAAGATGGATGAAGATGGGCAACAGTGGTGGGGACAGTGGTGGGGAATGGGGAAGAAGTGTTGCTGGATTGAAGTTGGAGACCTAAAGCATTCATGGACATACTTAGGTGCTATGACAAGCTGGGTGCTCTTTGAGTCTTATGCAGTCTCAGGGTTCTTCAACATCTCTTAGATGTTTGGGAGAAGCCTGATGATGGGATCTTAATTTGGCTGAAGGGTTGTTTTGTCCCATCGAAACTCACCAAACTGGAACATGCACGTCTGGAATGCACGTGTCAGTCATGGCGCATCTCCTAAGATGTCGCAACCCCCGCCTCACCGTGGGCGCGAAAGCGCACCGAAGCTGCTCGGCATGCGAGGCATGCGCTCGGAACGCCGAGCCGAGCTGGAGAAAGCAGGCGCCGCGGAGTCGGGCGGAGCGCGCCGTGCCACGCCGAGCTGAGAAGAGCGAGACGAGCCGCGAGGGAGCGAAGCTCGCGATGGGAGGGGTTGAGGTGACCTGGAGTCCGGACAGTTGATTGAAGATACCTATAGATCGGGTTGGTCCGAACTGACCTGTAACAGGACCCGTAAACAAGCAAATCACTATTGTTGAAAAGAGTAACAATCATCATCCACCCATAACTGGGACTTTCGATAGACCATAGATAGGATAGACCATAGATCTAGGATAGACCAGGTATGGGCCATGGGTCTTATCTGTATGGGTCTGAGTCGACCCATCACTGGGAATAGGAGTCGACCCATACAGATGTCCACTCCCGGGCCCTCGGCGAGCCATCGCGCCATCCGCCATGCCGCGGCGGTACACGAGACATCTCACCGTCATACCCGGATGCACTCGAACTCATGACCTGGAACTCATGCAGATGAGTTCCATGACTGAAGCTGCAATTTCCTGGTCCATCTTAGGTATCAGTGTCAAGACATGTCACGAGTCAATGCACCAAAAATGACCCGTATCCACGCGCAAGCAAGTAAAGTGTGCTATCTTGATCTTGGGGCTCCCAAGCCACTTTCAGGGTGTTCTGCATTCTTTTCATGGCTTTTAGCCATTGCTGCTCGGCGGGATGCAATTTTTCCCAGAGACTGATTTGGGAAGAAACAGCCCGCGACTGGGAGATTCACCATCAAGACCAACATACCATGATCTCAAATAGATCATTCCGCACCCTGTGAACGCCGGGGTTGATGACTAGAGAGTTCATTGGATCAATCATCCCAGCCCCAAGAAGCTGGTTTGGGCGGTTTGGGACAGCAAGGACAGTCCCTACATCCACAGGGTGGGAGAAAATCAATGTAATACTTGCTAATCGGCGACAAGTAATTATAGAATTATAGGCCGCTGGTTTCCCTCTGCCGTCCAAAGCATCGACATGAAGCAACCGCGAGGGCTCCCAGGATTGACAATGCTTCATGTGTGGTTACACCCAGGGTGATCATGAGGCTAATCGGAAAGGACCTCGTGAACGACCTCCTGGTCCCAACAGCTTTGTTGCAGTGGATTGCTTCAGAGAATCTTCTGCAGGATTTCAATGAAACTCCGAGGATTCGTTGGGTTTCTTCGTCGTCAACGCCTTCCCATGTGGTCTGATCCTGTCGAATTCGTTCGACTCGAGTCGAGACCGACCCGGAAGGGCCCTAAACCTCGGTCCTCTGTCCAGGCCGCTTGGCCTCTTGGCGTGACGAGGGTGAAAACGACGAAGTGGTCAGCGGGGCGGAAGTCGCACCGGGACCGGGTCGACCATGGCTTTGAAGGGATTAGGTCAGCAGCGACACCGTACGAGGTAGCCTCGGTTGAGGGGTGTCCCAAGAGGTGTCCTCATGGTCCTGGTAGTGGTCGAAGCATTCCGAAAACATGAGATGTGGGATTCCTTTGACTTCCAGAGATTCCCTGACGGCCTTGACTTACATCGTCTGGAGCGGTTTCCCCAGCCAGTCTATTAGTCTGGCCGGTCTGGCCATATAACTCTTCAGCTGTGCGGCACTTCACGCCACATCCACAGGTCATTCTCCTCCGCCGATTCAAGTTGCCTCACGACAAGCACCATCCCTGAAGAAAAATAGGAGGTCTATAAGTATACGTACAGTACATGTCACGCACCTTTCTTCCGTTGGTTTCAATGTGATTCCAATTCCTGGATCCACTGCAAATACATGCAAATACAAGAGACGCCGCTATAGGCTATACGCCAAAAATCAAAAGCAAACACATTTAATTTCACTTTCAAGAACCTGAGAACTCTGAGGACTTGCTCTTTCCTTTCCCAATCTCGCGAAAAGAAATGCATCTTCAGCACACGTTTGGGATGATGGTTGAGGATGGTAGTATGCCACGCGTTCTTGGCTATGATTGAGGTCCAACACTGCGACTAACTGATCCTTCGAGCGCCGAGCTAGGCGCCGCTCTACCAGATGTCGCGCTGCTCTACGAGGCCCTGGACGGCGATCCATGAGGATGGGAGATGGGCCGGGTGGACCTAGTAGGGCTTTTCGTGAGCCTCAGCTTTTCGTGAGCCTCAGTCAAGGGGTAGGTCGTTGGACATTCCAGGTTCTGATCATGTCCCTTCATCTAGAATCGCTTGCTTTTCCGAAGTAAGACCACGTGACCATGCATTCCGGCATTCCCCTGCCAGCCTTGCCACCGCAGACCACAGGAGCAAGCTGCGAAGGTCCAGTTCCCTTGTCCCGCGGGCAATGGCCGAGGTCCCGCCCAGGACCTCGGTCGCGACCGCGACGCCGTCGCACCATCTCCGCGGGACCTTCGACCAGGGGCGGGGCGTGCGTTTGACCCAACCGCACCAGAACACTCAGGTTGACCCTGGGACCCACCCCCTCGATCACTTCATTCGTACGAGAGACCCGCCTACACCCCCACGCGCCGGTGGGTGGACGGTCCTGAAGGTTCGGCGGACGGTCCCTCTGTTCCAAAGCATAGGCTGATAGGTGTCAGGTCCGGAACTGACCTGACCAGGGCTCTGACACCAGATCCATCCCACCGAAGGCTGAAGAAAGGCTCTTCCGCTCCCATCGTTTTGGCCGCTTCGGAGAAGTCCAGAGAGGTATCATAGGGCTTTAGTGGAACACCACCCAAACTATCTGGAAGACTGAGAACTGGAAAGCGGAGAGATCCCACCAAGGAGCCGATGGTCGAGTATTACAAAGGAGCTGCGGTTTCGGTTGATGGACAAGTCTTCTTGCACCAGAGATCAAAGAAATATATCTTAATGAGATATCTAACCTTCCCACGATCAGCACCCTTTGATGCTTGGATGACAGCTGGTCAAGAAGGTCTTCCAAGCTGAGCACCGTGGCTAAAAGGTGAAGAACTAGGAAACATGCTACGCCTGTAGCTAGCCCAAACACTGTTTTTTCCAGCTGTTTCTTGGTTTTGCTTAGGGTCATTTCTATTTTCGGTACGGATAAATCCTCTCCTGGGGATATTTATCTTTCCCGGTTCCTGGACAGCAAATCCCAGGTTTTGACCAAGCGCTTGCATTGAGACTTGGGTCTTAAGATCGACTTTGCTCCGATCGACTTGCACTTCGAAAAACAGACACGTTGGTCCTCGACAATACATGAACAATTCTGAACATCATGGCTGCGTAAACCGGAGTGGAGGGGAGATCCTTGTGATTGTGCCTATGAACAGGTGATGAGCTGGCGACTTTACTGCAGGCACGGCTTGTGCAGTTTCTGTGATGTGCAGCATGCACCCGCTCAGGGTATATAGGGCAGGTTGCCTAGAACCCGTCAAGCCGATTTGAGCGCGAAGGGGCTCAAGTTGTGAGGCGATGATATAAAGTTCCACCCCCGCCTTCTGGCGCCATCTTGCAGCTAGTCAGTTGACTTGCGATCTCAGCCGGTGGTGAAGGAACGGGGTCGGAGTACGTTGGAAGACTTACTGGTGTGAGCACATGGTCACTCAAACGCTGTTTGCTCATGCCTTCACTATGAAAGTTAGGAGCCTCCCTCCCCAGGAGCTTTGCGCTGTTTATGCATCCCTCCTTCCTGGTGCTGTGCCTGAGCGGCGTTTGCTTCGCCCCGACACAGTGGAACTCCTCACAAGCACTGCACGACGAGGTGGCATTGGTGGTGTGTGTGTGTGTGTGCGGGGTGTTGGGAGATAGGTGCCAAGCTTGCGTGGTATTCGACACGGACGGACCCATAGCCACATCCAGATCCTGAGCCTAACAAGAAACATCGCCAAGTCCTTCACAGCTCACAACCCACCCAACATCCCCGAAAACACCAAAAAAATACACCTCACTCAAGCTTCCAAACTTATGCAAAAACGGTCAAAAACTGTCCAACTTACACCAAATACCCTCTGAATGTCTCCAAGTCACTAAGATCGAAGTGGAAAGCCTGCATGCAGAGAACAAAACTTTCCCAGGGGCCACGCGACTGTTCACTTTTCATGTGAACCTCTGTGAGATCCAACAACATCTTCTTTCCCCGCCCCACTCGGCTGCACAGTTCTTGCATTCCGCCCGAAACCTAGCAGCAAAGAACGGGTCTTCCGGGGGGCGCTTCCCAGGCTCTGTCGGAACTGCATCATTGGGCTAGCCTGAATTTCGCCATTTTTCCTTTCCCAAGAAGCACATCAGAGAGATGTCTCGTCGCATCCCGTGCTGCAGGGTTGTATGATGAGCTACAGGGAACGGACACCGAGTGGTCCTTGGGCTTTGCGGTGAACTGCATCCTTTCAGGCGCGCGAGGTCGGTGGGGATCTTCCGGAAATCCTCTGAGGGTGCAGGATTTCCGGTGAGACTGCTGTAGAGATAGAACGGATTTGATTCGCTGTAGACTCTTGATGAATATTCATACGAGCGGACTGTTCGCGTCAGCTACTCGGTCCTGGGAATCAGAAGATTCAGATTCAGGCCAGACTCCTGATTAATTACCCCCTCTTTGAAGAGGACGTTCAATTCAAATGGGCGGTGTATTAATCAAGAGTCTACGTTAAGTGATTCGGACTTGATCAATCCTTGGAGTGATGTTGTGATATGTTGTGGTGTGTCTTTGCCACATGCAGTAGGTGTTGCATGAATGGAACGGAAGGGATTCTAGCAATTCACACCAACCAACTATCAATCAATTTTTTTCGCGACATCCCACCATGGCAGTGGACAAGCACCTGCTTGTGGAGGATTCCTAGTTGAGTCATCCGGATTTTTGATCTCTTCGGTTGATTTCGACCTCATATGGGTGTGTATATTAAAACCTTCTATCATAGAGGCCTCTTTCGGCGTTCCGAAGCCCCTGGAAGGTTTGGAAGATAGACCCGTCTAAGGCATTGAATGCAAGGGGTCTCCTTATGACAATACACACCCATTTCCCTCATCCCTTGGAGTGCCCCTGGGATCCGGCTCAGCATTCCCCTCTCGGATGCTGCGCGAACCCGAGTTCAGTTCGGGAGGTGGGCGACGACCGAAATGGAATGGGAGGGGACAAAAACAGGTGTCGCACAATTTCATCTAAGCGAACGGTTGTAAAGGTGGTTGCGAACTGTGGCAGCTGGCAGCTGGTGCTGCATTTTCTGGTGAAGACACGAGAAAACTGCGAGGAAGATTGGGTATGGCTCAAACTTCTAGGGCCCTCAATTTGCTCGAAGTCAGATGAAGGTTCTGATCTCATCATTGCCCTGACAGGCCAGGTGGCGCCCCTTCACACTTTCTTCCAAGTTTGGGTCATCTCCCAAGTAGCGAAATCAATCAAACTGATCGCCACGTGCGTTTTTGGATCAGAATGGAGAAGTCTGCGCAGGTTGTTCCGAAGTGTTGGATAAAGAAAGACCAGGACCAGACTAGTCCCAGACTCTACAGGCGACCAACTTTTGCGTCGGATGCTTTTTGGGTCTCCACAAGAAGACCTGGCAGTGAGTGACCAGCTAGGCCGGCCATTGACGACCTGTCTGAGTGATGTGGAAGTGGTGAGAACCACCGCTTGGGGCCTGGTTGGGAGGTTTGCCAGTTGACCTTTCGGTGGAGAAGAGTATATATATATAATTTGTATATGCATGTGTGACTAGTATATATAATAGTCTCACGTAAAACAGTATAAAACTCTAGTCAACAATCACTTTTACACATAGCTTTACCATATCATTATAGTCTTACAGATTCTTGCGGTAAAACTGAGTCAGCTCGCACTACTTCATCAGGTTGCTTTTTTCCGGTCCCGACACCTCGGTTTCGATGTTGGAAGTCCTGTCACCCAGTTCAGCTCCCAGTTCAGAAGGTGATCGGCTGCAGTCATGTTTCCAACTAATTAGAGGGGATTTTGGAAATGGACCACATGAACCACACTTGACCGCTCCAGCAGACTGGTGTTGCTTCTGAGCCTGAGGGATGGAACACTTAATACTCCAAGAAACACCCAGGAACATGGCATGCGATCCAGGCCGCCAGTTTGAGATCGATAGTGGAAGCCGCTCCTCTTCTAGCTCTGCACCTCTACCGAGCCCGTACGGAACCTTTGCCTTTTAGATGTGCACGTCACGCATTCTGCTGAAATTGAAATGCAACCAGGTCATCAGTTTGCATTTCATTTAATGTGAAGTTGATGTTCGCCCCTTCCGTGGAATTTTTGGCGAGTGTGCTCAGATGGAGCTCCATGAGCGTCGCCATCACTCTAGCAAGTACCGTGCCAGGGCAGCTTGCGGTCTCACAGTAGTCATTGCAAGACAAACATCTGCAGGTGCACCCAGGAAGTCGAAGCTCCAGTGCTTGAAATACGCTGGCTCTGGTGAATCCAATGCCCATCAGAGTAAGTCAGCTGACCCTGATCGTGTTACTGTCGCGGGGCTGCGTGACCAGGCCGCTACGCGTCTGCGAAAGCCTATGGCCATGGGGGCTCGCAGCTTGGGCGTGAAGATAGCGGAGAAGACTTAAGTGGGTCGAAACGATATTTAGCCCATTGAGAAGGCCCGCGTATGAATTTCATCGACCTCTTGTAACCACCGGCCATCACACGCTACTTGCTGGAAACCTGGAAACATTTTTGGCAAATGTAGCAGAGGGGCTCAGTTCATCACAGTTTTGGCAGACCTTTTGGTCACTGCGTCAATGCATGCATTTCGGAATGAACATGAAGGATCCGGAGCTTCGGGTCGGACGCGACCGCAGCCTGCGAGCGAAAGTTTCCAAGGCAAAGTTCCTGGGCTTTTGCGGATCCAGCGAATGACTTGGCGGTTTGCTGCCTCTGCAACGGTGTCTTGGCCGATCCGTGGAAACCCCCACACGATCCACGTGCAGTTTTCGTACGCGCAGTTAGTGCCGAACCCGGCACGGAGGTACTCTTTTGCCTATCTATTGGTGGACGATCACTGCTTAGAGTTTGTGTTTTTTGATGGTCGCGCGTTGGGATGTTTTTGAGTCTTTATTTTTGGTATGGTATGTATTTTTCAGCGAATGCAGGGAACTTGCTGCCAGAGCAATCAGGCAAGCCAGGCCCGGAGCAGCACTACCGCCGGGTTGGAGCTGTCAGCACCGCCATCTATGAGGAGCGGAATCGCACACCCCCATCGCTCCTAAGTGGAAGACCCTGAAATGAATACGGTGGGCATTGACGTCCCCCAGCCCATATTCACCATCCCCAGTGCCTTGCTGGATGTCAGCAAGAGCGGCCCAGGGATGTCAGACCAGGTTCCAAATGACATATGTGCCAAAACTGGGGTCGCTTCTCCAGTGTAGGGCCCGGATGGTCATCTCTCAATGGAACTTCTATGAGATCCCCAAGACACTGTGCATAAACCTTAGAAAGGGGGAAGGCCATCTTCTATATCAGTTCTTGGCAACCGATTTACAGATTCCTGTGACATGTGGGTTTGGAGGGGCCTCGTCCACTTATGACCATGACGACGCGTGCAGCACAGTCATGACGACGTGTTTGCGCCTTGCAGTTTTTGTCCTTACAACATGTGCTTTAAACCTGAGACCATCCTGAACTTTAGTTGGGACCTTTTTGCGTAGTGAGGCCTCACTACTGGAGGTTCCGTATGTAATTAGTGCCAAACCAGACCTGGGATTCGTCCTATCAGGAATTTTTATGTGGAATACAACGTACAAAAAAAACTGGGATCCTTTCTTATACAGAAACTTGTGCATCATTCATTCATTCCTATCAAGTTTCTGTACCTCTTGACTTTAACACAGATCATCACAGATCCTTGTTCCTTCCATGCTGGAGTCGTTCATGCGGACCCTCTGACCTCGAACGTCATGCGCGCCTGTGGCTTCTTGGCTTCAGATCTTCCGAAGACCCGAAGGGACTCGATGAATGAAGCATCACAGAGACCCACAGTCATGGCACTGAGCGAGTGAAACATGGTACGGTCTTGGCCCAGCGAAGTCTTGAACGCGACCAAGCTTTAACAACTTTGCAAACAAGAAACACATAATACATATATATATAGTTTGAATTGAACATCTACTTGGTGCGGGCACAGAAGTATAGTGATTAAGTGGCCTTTTTCAGCTTTCTTGCAGTCACATACTTATGGACATCTCACATTTCCACATCGTTTTGGTGGAGACATCGCCCTTAAGAACGACCGTTCGGCCATGTGTTGAACTCGGTTGAAAGGCGCCACACGGATCGAACAGGTCCCCCATCGAAAAGCCCCGCAGAGGTGAACACCTTCCGGCAACATCCAAAGGATGATTACTGCCACTCAGCTGAGTGAAGGAACCAATAACCTTCAACCAAGAGAGGTAGGTTAAGTGACCGGAACCAGCGCCCGTAACCGACCCGGTGCCCATCTATGGGATAAGTCCACAGTTCGTCGGGCCCTTCCACCTGCTGTTGACAGCTTAGCTCGGCCCAGTCGACGCTCCGCCACCGCGAACGCCGGAGCGAACGCCACGCCCCGTCGACGCTGCGTTGGGCCACGCACGTCACGTCACGTCACGTCACGTCACTGGCCGACGGATGGTCCCGTGCTTGGCCGGAGCCCTCATGCCGACGAAGATCCCCTATCCCAGCCCTGGTGGTGCCTGGGACTCGAGCGCCGGTGGGGCCGGTGGGCGCACGTGGGCGGACGGACGACTGGGAACTGGGTCCTAGTGCTCGATCGACTTGCCATGAGCCATTGGGGATGCAACCCTCAAGAACCAGACCTGGAGCCCTGAGATCCACTTCCATGGGTCCCCCATGGAAGAAGCTTGCGTTCCTCTTGGGGAAGATGGTTGCAATGTGGGTGCGGTAGGGGGCATCCGTTGATCATCCAGAGAGCCAAATTTACTCATGAGGATCCTCTCTTGAGCAGGACACGCTTGTTTCATTCGCTTGAGCAGGACATGTTGCCAGTCAGAACTCTATTCGACCCTGACGATCCATGACCACACATAGGTCACAAATAGAAATGATCTCAGGATATGCATACGTTTCTATTGATTGTGTTATTTGAAGACGTTGTCGAATCACAGATTGGGGTACCTGAAATGTGTATACAATTCCAGTATCATTGTCGGAGGATAAGACCATGAAATCCCAACAACCAAGCATACCAGGGCGTGACGAACCGTGACAGACCGTGATTGGTCTATTTTTCCCTTTCAAAATGAGGTCATTGTCGGACTCCAGCGTGACAACCCGTGACGGGCCTTGATTTGGGATCGTTGGTTTTGTGGTTTTTTGGGTTCTGTGGTTTTGTGGTTTTTGGGTTCTGGTATGATCTCGTTTTTTGAGGTCGGGCCTCACAGGGTGAGGTCGGAGAGCCCCAGAAGACACAACCCCAAATGTTAGCATATAGAGCTAACTTTCGATCCTCAGGGCGATATAGAAAACAAAATCTTTCTGGATGGCCATCGGCCCGGACCAGCCTCGATGGATCGCTGGAGCTTCCTCATGTCCTCGCTTGGCCCACGGCCAGATGATCACTGATCACATGCCCTCTCCCATCGAAGATCACACAACTCCACCACCCCGTACTTGAATGTGCCAATCAGGCAGCCAAGTTGCCTGCTCTATCCAGCCATAAGGCCTAAAGTACCATCCCTAGCGATCCAAGTACCTTCTCAGAAGGCACCTGGACCCTCCAAACCCACCCCAAACAACTTCTGAAAAGGTACTTGGATCCCTATAGGGCATGGCATGGGGGATTGGGTCCAAATCTCCCAGAAGAAGAACCGACTCGCACGGACCCCTTTTTTGCCAAGGATATTTGCGGCTGCCTCTTGTCCTGATATATTTTGCTCGAATCCAGGGGAGGAGGAAGGATGCACTCGGATGCACCCCCACACCATCCTGAACTTGAATAGGTACACCCCTGACTCACCAAGAGCGAAGTTGGACAAAACGATTTGGAGGCTCTTCACCTCCACGTTTGGGGACTTGTTTCTGATTTACACATTTCGCTTTTGCTCGATATGTTGGAGATGTACCATGTTTGTTCTTTCCTCTAGCATGCTTGCTGCTTGTACTCGTATCTGCTAAAACATGCTAAAGCCAATTCTGTTTTTTGATTTGCTCTTTTTTGTGGTGACCTGCCAGTGGGCAGATCAGGCAGATCATGCCCCACTCAGTTTAGCGAGTCGACCGATTTTGGGGGCAGAACACCATACCTGAAGAGTGTGCCGAAGGTTTCCAGGCTTTCTCAGTCTGGTATCACTATTCCTGTTCCGGCGGCTTTTTCGATTGCAGCCGTTCCATGGCCAACTCCAAGGGATTGAAGGACCCCAACAGTTCATCCTTTAAAGTCAGATCGTGTCATTCCACTTCCGCGTTCACTCCACGTGTTCAGCACACCTTTGGGGTGGAAGATGTTGAAGATGCGATCGACGCCACCACGGTGTGCTCGACAGGGTGTGGTGGGACCCGTCCGCGGAAGCGTCAACACGTGTCCGGCTGTGGTCGGGAAGTTTTTGGGCGGTCGACATGTGCTTTTCAAGCACATGTCGGACACGGGTGCCACAAACTGAGCCAACTTTCTAACCATTCGCTTTTTTTTTAACCATAAGAAGTTCCATTCAGGCCGTAGCTTGACCTAGCTTGTTGATGCTTTTTCCTGGGTGTTCCTTAGCTTCATCTTTTGGGAGGTTGACTGACCTGTGGTGGGGCATTAGGAACCCAGTCCAGTACCACAGTTGATTTGATCCTAAGTCTAAGGCCAGCGGACAACCAACACAGTTTGTTGCTGCATCCGGATCAGAGTGGAATATTCAGAGCGTGGAATATTGCATTAAACAAGATGGATCTTCACAATAGATTCTTCATTCCAAATGGACTTCTTCCGATTTTCTCCCTGCTGCCGCCGGCCGTTCGGCCGCTTCGGCCGCCACTCGGCTCCCCAGGACCACTGAGGACGTGGAGAGCCCAGAGGTCCCGCAGCAATGGCGCCTGGCGCAGAAGGCGCTCCAGGCGGAGAAAACGCTCGGTCGGTCCAGAGCGGGGCGTGGTCATATCATATGTATAGGGTTGTGTCCCAGTAGCAGTAACAGTGGGTAAACACTTTGGAGAAAGGCCTTGGGATGTAATTACTGTGACATCATCATCATCATCATCATCACCTTGGGTTGAAACCCCATCGTGCCCTCCCAAAAATTCCAGTCCGTTCCACTTGTTTCGCCGTTCCTTCACGGAATGTGACCAAAGGTATCCTGCATAGAACGTCGGGGCTGATCGATCCCCAAGACAAAGGTGTAGAACTCCCAAGGATTCGGTGTTTGTGGGATGTGGTTCGTTTTTGTATGTTCGACATGCTGCATGTTGTTTTCCATTCCCCGACAGGCTTCTGGCCAACCATTAATTTTATAGGTTTTACCGAATCAACTCAGGATTTTTAGATTTTTTTGCACTACAAAAACCAGGTCGTTCCCATGTTTTCAAAATGGACGAACGGAAGTCTAGGGATTCAATAGCACGCACCTGGACTCTATAGGTCGCGTCGGTGGTGGCCTTTGTAGACTTTTCAGAACTGAGGTCTTCGGTGACCTGTAGACGACGGTGGGCCCTGGTCGTTGGTGTTGTTCTCGAGTCACACCATGGCTTTGTGTGTTCTTCGATGTATGATGTATCAAGTGTCCTTCAACACACCCCGTGGCCGTTGGATAGAAACGTGGTCCTCTTTTCGGGTGGTTTTGACTGATAGAAGAATGGTCCGAAGACCAGGAGAACATATGCCGTATGCCCATCATTGCCCATCTCTCCCCCAAAAAGGCGCTGATGCTTCTTCTCATGTCCACTGCGCCCGCTTTTGGTTCACTGTGCCTGCTTTTTCATGGTCTGTCACATAGCCTCACTTAAAAAGAAACACGGGCTCCGACCATGAAATCCATACCTTCGCAAGGTCTTTGGCTTCACGTCCATGTGGTGGTGCTCGGCGATTTTGGTGATCCTACAGATCAAAGAGGTGCCCGCCCTGGGCGCGCGCCCTCGCGGCTCGCGGGCTGAGAGTGTTCATGTGGAGCTTATAAGGCTTATATCGATTCCATCGGGACTGGACGTAGTTGCCCTACATAGGTCATTCACTGGGGTAAAATGGATTGAAATAGTACGGTAAAT